CTTTACTCCTAAGTAATCAGACAAGGCTACACTTTCAGTCACTAACAGCAAAATTCTTAGGGCTGAAAACTTACAATGAATTACAAAAAAAAAAAAAAATTCGTATTGGTAAAAAAAAAAAAATTAGTATCTACTTATCCCCTTCAAGGTGGCTTTGCCTAAGTAGTTTTCCATAATATGTTCTGCTTATTTCTTGTTTCCCATCTCATACACAGGGAAAGCTACTGGCCTATGTCTCAGAGAATTCAAGCCTCCATCAAGAAATTATATATTTTACCCTGTGCCAGTAATCCCAGATACTCCAGAGACCGAGATCTGGGAGACTGTGATTTGAATCTAGCCAGGGCAAAAAAAGAAGTCCAAAAGATTCCATCTCTAAAATAACTAGGCAAAAGCTAGGCTGTAAGCATGGCTCAACTGGAAGTGTGCCAAGGCTAGAAAGCAATATTAGTCAGGACGAAGCCCTAAGTTCAAATATGGGTATATATGCACAGATAGATACATATATGCATGAATATATAGACAGCCAACATATCTATAATAAGAACATATTTATATGTACATATACATAAGTGATGAACAGTGGCAATGGTGCTTTTTGTTTTCAAATCCTCTCCGCCTTACTGAACGCAACCAACCAAAATCTACCTTAGTGAAAGGTCTGTTTAGCTTTAACAGCCCTGTTATCCCATTGCAAACCAATTGTAACGACCTTTTTCAAATCTGAGCAATTTATATTAACCTGCGGTTCCTTTATTCACTATAAATTAGACCCTGTAACCGCTACCTAAACCTATGTCTTCCTTTGATATGAATAGGAAATTAGGTCTCAGGGGGAATGAACAAGATCAGAGTGAGAAGTGTCCAGTTCTCAAGGCATGACTGCTTTGGTTGACCTCAGGTTGAGCTGGCCAGAGCCTCTCCTGCCACGGTTGCCTGTGACCTGGCATCAGACCAGAGACAGATCAAGTTCAGTATCCTGCAAAATGGGTAGTTACCCACTGTAACACTGTAGTGGGCCCCAGTGAGTATCATGATGCCATCTTGTTCACCCTCTTCCTGCATCTTAGTTGTTGGACTCTATCAGATGATTAAGAAGATGTGAGGGCATTTGAGAACTGTCAAGGGCTGGAATTCCAGATTTTAGGATTTAGAGTCTTTGGGCTTCCCTACAATACATTGCTGTAGTCAGGCTCATATACATACAAAGAGCAGAGACTATTGCAACAATAAGAGTTTAAGCAGGTGCAGTGGTACATGCCTGTAATCCTGACAATCAGGAGGCTGAGGCAGAAGGATTATGAGTTTGAGGCCAGCCTGGGCTACAGAGAATATAAGACTAGTCTGGGCTGCACACTGAGTCATTCCGATAGTAAGAACAAGTCTAAGAAGAAGCCAATTTTCCTGCATTTCCCCATCCCCTCTTACCCTGGGGGATACATTTTCTATGCTCTCCTCCCTGGGAGCCTCCTGGCTTGCTTTTGGTTTCTGACCCGTTGAATTGGCTTTGATTTTATTTAATAAGGACCTGTCAGCAGTGAAGCTGTATTTACTTGGCTAGAAAGATGGCAATGTTTTTGAGAAAGTGTGGGAATAAGGCAGCTTTTCAAAACGTAATCCTCAAGGAAGCCTCAAGAATGGTTTATTGTGTTGCTGGGCATGGTGGTCCTTGCTTATAATCCCAGCTCCTTAGGAGGCAGGAGAATCACTAGTTTGAATTAGTGAAATGAGACGTCTCAGAAAACAAAATACAGACAAAAGAACAGGGGTGGGGGGTTATGGGGATAGTATAGCCCATGTGGTAAAGCATTCACCTAGCAAATGCGCTGTGAGTTTAATTCCTAGTACTGAAAACAACAACAACAACAAAACAGGGTTGTTACTAAGATCTAAATAACTAAGTAAATAATAAACAAGTGTAGTTATACAGTTGCACAGCAGGGGGCTCTATCTGCCTGTTCTTTCCAAGGCTAAAGCCCAGTTTCCAAAAGATACTTCCTGCATTGGAACTTGCTTTTCTTTTTGATTCCTTCTCTGTGACCATAAGACTGAGTCTTTTCTGCTAACTGCAATTTGGCATCGCTCAAAAGGTATGTATGCAGTGGGCAAAATGTGTCTCTTCATATTCCTAGGGCTCCACAATTCCTTATCTTATATTTATCATGAAGGTGATTGATTCCCTCCCCTTCCCCTTCATAGTGGGGGAAAAAAACAACAACAACTCAACAGTTCCGCAAAGCTGATCTAATTGAAATCAATACTCCTTGCTAAATCAAGCCAGATGTGTTGGTGCTCAAAGGCTTTGGGGTTTATAATACCAAGATGTGGTGCCTTTCTCCTGAGCGAACCCTCAGGATCACAGAGAGGCTGCTTGATAAAGGAGTTCCTTGATGCATTCGTGATGTCTGAGGGCTGTTATGGCTTGCGGGTCTGGCTCCTCCAAGAGTCCTATCGAAAGGTAATGATATTATTGGGGACTGAGACTATTAAGAGGTAGCTAGCCTGTCAAGGCCCAAGAGTGGATTACAGCCTTCATAAAAAGGGCAAGTTCAGCCCCTTCCTTCCTTTGCTCGGATTTACCTTCCACCATGAGACTGTGTAGAAAGACCACACCCAATGTTGACCATCTCCAGATGCTGGCCCCTCCATCTTGGACTTCCCAGTCTCCAGAGCTGTGAGCTGTTTGCATTTCTGTTCTTGGTAAATAACACGGTCTGTGGTTCCCAGCACAAAATGAACACAGATAGAGGTGCAGGTGCCAGGCATGAGTAGATGCAGCACCCTGCACTAGTTCCTGAAGGCCAACCCTGGCTGGTTGAGAATGCAAATAAATGAAGGCAGTGTTCTTTGTTCTGGTGTGAGTAACTTTGTGATGAAAGCCATACAAATATTGTGTATGTTGCTGGGTGGAAAGATCCAAAACTCATCAGTCACAGTGAACATCAAGTTTAGAATCTGGGGTAAGAGCATCAACCTTGTGCCTCACTCTGAAAAGTGCTTGCTAGAATGCCTTGCCTCCTCATCCAGCCAACACTTACCTGTTTGCTTTTAGGAATTGTTAAATATTTCTGACCTAGGCACCGGTGGCTCGGGTCTGTAATCCTAACTACTCAGGAGGTTGAAATCTGAGGATCACAGTTCAAAGCCAGCCCATGCAAGAAAGTCTGTGAAACTCTTATCTCCAATTGACCACCAAAAAGCCAGCAGAGGTGGTATGTCTCAGGTGGTAGAGTGCCACCTGGAGAGGAAAAAAATCCAAGTGAGAGTGCAAGGCCCTGAGTTCAAGTCCCAATTCTGGTACACACACATACACACACACACACACACACACACACACACACACACAAGATCCAGGCCAGGATCAGATTGTGATCCTGGTATGAATTACTTCCACATAGCTGGGATTATATGTGTGAGCTGCTTATTAACTAAAATGAGATCTCACTGACTGTTGCCCTAGCTGACCTCAAACCTTAGCCTTTCCCCCAATTTCTGCCTCCGTCAGATCTGGGATTATATGTGCGAGCTCTACACCAGCATATTAAGTCTACCTAGTCCTCCACCCCAGATCATAACTCCTCATTGCTGGGTGAAAATGTTTTTCCAATATATCTATACGACCAGTTTGATCAAATCCATGGATTTCACACACACACACACACACACATACACACACAAATTGTCAAGTTTGATACAATCCAACACACCCTGAATAACCATAATCAACATCCAAACACCTCTACCCTGAGCTGGGTTCAGGCTTTTTTTAAATTATGCAATGAAAAAAAACTAAAACTTAATTCCAAGCATATGTAGTTAACATTTTCAAAACAGGCCATTATTCCCAAAACACATTCAACACAGAAAGAAATAAAAAGATATTTATTGGAAGGACAAAATATATTTAGAATTGTTTTTGCTTCTAAAATGCCCATTTTCCCTCAAGCCCAAATGGTATAATTCCATTTTAAGCCAATGAAGTTATTTTATACACTCTAGTTAAGCACTTTAATGGGAATCGCATTGGCAGCATAAAAACTTGCATAGTGTGATCCTAAAATAGTATTATTTATATCCAACTGGCTCTTCCAGTAATACTATTAGAGTCAAATATAGTGATGGTTCAAAAAAAAGTATATAAAGTTTTTCAACCCCCTCCTCCAACAGCTTAATATATATATAAAGACTGTAAGGATAAACGCGAAGGAAAAGAAGACTGGTTCCTTTCCCCCACCCCCACCGTCATCATCTATTCTTCTTTTCTGGTTTCTCATTTAAGTTGGAAGTCATAACTTAATGCCAAGAGTAGACTAGTGACAAGTGTACAGCTTCATTCGTTTTAGTTTCTGTTTTTGTGAGGTTTGGGGGAGTTTTTCTTGTTCTTGTTGTTGTTGTTTTATTTGACTGAGAAATTCCCGAAAAGCTGGAGTAAGGAGTTTAAAGAAAACCAGATCAGACCTCTTCTTCAAACGTTCTTCAGATGACTGGCGAGATACTTGTCTCACAGGGAGAAACAAGGGCTCTGGGCACATGATGTGTGTCCAGGATGGAGTAGCCCAAGCACCAGACCAAATTAGGGAATTCTGATCCTTCATACATACAGCCAGGCACCGCATTGCTACGCTTCAGCCAGTAATGGCCCACACAGGTGATGGTGGTCCCATCGATACTAATGCAGCTGAAAGGCCTTGTAGCTGTCCTACCCTTGCAAGCCATCACTCACGTGGGTGTTGGTGACACTTAAGTAAGCAAACCTGTTACTCTGTCAGGCCTGCAAGTGACTGATGAAGAAGTAGGTACAGTACATAAGACTTGATCATGATAACAAACCATTATGTTGCCCGTTTGGGTGTTTATTATATGCTAGGGTTTCAGGAGGTTTAATTTGTTTACACATGTCCTGATCAGGGTAATGGTGGCACGTCAGGCAGAAGCAAGTCATCATGTCTCAAGCTAGAGTGGATATACAGTACAGAGAGAGGATAAGCAAGGTCCCACAAGCCCTTTCAAGGGCACACCCTCAGCAATCTAAGTACCACCTACAGGGTCCTGCCAGGTTGTCCAGTCTTAATGTTGAGCCACCGAAATTATGAACTAAAGAAACTCTCTTTGGTGTCATAGGGATTCTGTATCAAGCATTTCCTTATATGGATAGGAAGCTGACAATATACTATACTTTTTATTGCTTTTTTTAAAAAAAATTTGTACTTATTGTGTGATCACATTTCTATAAAGAAGCTTATGCTAAAAACCTTCCAGGTTACACCAACAGAAGGCTTTAATATATCTTGTGTTTACAGCACCTCTTATTTATTTATTTATTTATGGGGCTTGAACTCTGGGCTTGGGCGCAGCTCAAGGCAAGCGCTCTACCAGCACCTCTTATTTTGCATGTAGAAACCACATTAAGGGTTTGATCTATGCCAATGCTATGACGTTGATGCAGTAACAAGATGGCCAGATGACACTTTCTTATTAGACTATATCCCTGTGATTGAGCCATCCATGACTGGACTAATTTCCTAAGGCATTATCTTTCAGGTAACCTAAGCTTGCTTTCTCACATTGAAGAAATGCATGAGCATTGTATTTCTAAAACAGACTATGCCTACATGAGTGACAGGGACAAGGAAAGAGGGAGGAGGATTTGAGACCTCCTTTTGCAAAAGTATCTTTAGTAGTACGCTTATTATTTCCTGATGTCTTGAGCAAAACCACCATGAAATATGATAGCCCCATTGTCTGATTGTGTCTTACCGTGGGCTTTGACCAACATGTTGCCATCGTGCAATAATTACAACTTTGATTTATTCCTGGGGACCGCCAGCTCATAAATCATGCCCACTCTTGCTTGAGTGAGACACATTTGCGAAGAGCCTGTTAAGGGATGGTAAACTCACATATGTACTTCTTGCTGGTACGGCAGATCTCATCACTCCATTTTCCCTGAGCCGATTGGGAGAACAGGACGCAATTTTCACGCTTGCCACCATTGGGCTGTGCACGGTCCCAGTTGAGGAAGGAGACAGCCATTCCATTGACATCAAGAAACTTGCCTTCTGTGGCCATGTCATTGATGCCCACCCAAAAGTCATTGACCCCAGGCAGGCTTCTCTTAGCATAGTCTCGGAGGGCATTGATCTCGTCAGAGTTCCTCGGGACCACCAAGGTCCCCCCTTTGGAAATGCAGTCCTCATTGGCCTCGTGGAAGTGTTTCAGGCCTTCTGAAGCCAGGTAGCATTTCCTGTGAACTTTCGTGCCTCGGAGACAGACTGTGGAAATGGGAGATTTAATAGAGTAAAAGTTTTTGCTGGGCACTGGTGGCTCATGCCTGTAAATCCTAGCTACTGAGGAGACTAAGACCTGAGGATCAAAGTTCAAAGCCAGCCTAGGTGGAAAAGTTGGTGAGAATCTTATCTCCAATTAACCACGAAAAAACTGTAAGTAGAAGTGAGGCTCAAATAGTAGCCTTGAGTGCAAAAGCTAAAGGAGAGCTTGAGGCCTTGAGTTCAAATCCCAGCACACACACACACACACACACACACACACAGAGGAAGAAGAAGAAGAAGAAGAAGAAGAAGAAGAAAGAAAGTTATGTCTTTTGTGTGCACTATGCCTGATCCTGGATCTGGCAAATGCTGATGAATAATTATAGAATAATGTGTGATTATAATGATTTTTAGTAATGATCTTACATGTGTCAGATACTGTAGTAAACAATTTACATAAGTTAACTTATAATAACCCTGATGATCCTATGAAGTGCTATCTTATTATCCTTATTTATTGGGATATTGAGGTATAGAGAAGTTGTTACTTGTAATTTTAGCCCGACAAAACCATAATTTGTAGAGTATGGAAAAATTATACACAAACCTGGTTCTGTCTCAACCTCAAAATAGTATCTCAAGACTCATAATGCTTTCTTTATTATTATTATTATTATTATTATTATTTTGGTGCTGGTTGAAGGGTGTGAACTCAGGGCTTGAACTGCCATTTAGCTTTTCTGTTCAAAGCTGGTATTCTATCACTTGTGTCACAGTCCCACTTCTAATTTTTTGGTGGTTCTTTGGAGATAAGATTCTCATGGACTCAGGCTGGCTTTGAACCTGGATCTTCAGATCGCAGCCTCCTGAATAGCTAGGATTACAGGCGTGGGATGCCAGTACCTGTATCCATATTTATATAGTTCCATTGTATGTTGGATGTTCTTGCAACTTGTGGAATTGGATGGGATTTCATTATCAAGAGAAAAGAAGTGAAACAGGAACAAAAATCTGAGTTTGCGTGTGGGGAGACAGTGGCTTTCTTGAGCCGAGAACAAAGACCTGTAATATTGTTTAGGTTGTCTAGCATATAGAAAAGGAGTACAGATGGTTTTAGGTTAGGGGCCAGGACCTTAGTGTCTGGGTTTAGGTTTCTATCATGACATTTACTAGCTGTGTACATCTTAGACAGATTCTTTTTCTGTCCTTCATTTTCCTCATGTATAAAATGAGGGAAATTGACTATTCAACAAAAGGTGATGGAGAACTAATATAGTACTTAGAGTATCAAAACACGGTCAAAGGCCCGTTAACCTTCAAACTCTGTATATCCAAAGATCTGATAAAAGGAAGAATATCACCCTTGTTCCTAGCAGAATTGCTTATAGCAAAAATGCTTCCTGGCCTCCTGGGAGTTATGAATTCTTTGTGTGTGTGTGTGTGTGTGTGTGTGTGTGTGCACGCACGTGTGTGTTCATTAGTATTGGGGAGTGAAATCAGGGCCTAGGCATCGTTCCTTAGCTTTTTCACTTGAGTCACAGCTCCACATTTGTCATTTTTAGTGGTTAATTGGAGATAAGTCTCATGGACTTTTCTGCCCTAGCTGGCTGCTATCCTCAGACCTCAGCCTCCTGAGTAGCTAGATTACAGGCGTGAGTCTCCAGTGCCAAGCTAATCTATTCCTATTTCTGTACTACTGATACTTGAAAGGAGGTAGCGAATCAAGCTCATTGTTCAAGACCATTATCACTAACTTTCCATCCCTGCACTCAGCTGCATCTCTAGTTTGTTGATGTTTCTTTCTAAAAGATGGCTTCCATATGCAGTCTCAATGAAATGGAGTTGTTGGCAGCCCTGGTTCTCTTCCAGCATCAGCTGGGGGTGGGGGTGGGGGGCTGGAGGGGTGTCTCACCTGTCTGGAGAGCTTGCATTTCCTTCAGGGCATTGACTTCTCGCCAGAGTTTTTCAACTTGAGATTTCAGATCTCCATCCTTTTCTGGGGACACATTTTAGGGGGGAGTGGTTAGAGAACGGAAAGCATATGAGTAAACGAAAGGCAATTAAAGTTGAGAAAATAGACAGCTTTGGGAAACACAATCTGAAGGTCGTGGAGGCAATGATGTCATCGAGCTGAGTGTACATCAAAAGTAATGTGTGAGACCAGGGTCATTGGGTTCAAGGAGGAGAATGGCTGTCTAGTAAGCTCAAGGCCTTGAGTTCAAAACACCCCAGCACCCCCAAAGGCAAAAGGAAAAAGAAAAGCAAAGAACACAGGCAGGAAAGGCAAGCATAATTCATTACCACGAGGTGCGGACAGTAAAACAGGGAGATTCCAGCAGGTAGAGCTCCTGCCTCTCCCTCTCCAGCCCCACCCCTGTGAGTTCCACCTGGTCACCAGCCAGCCTCAGCCTCCTGGATTCGAGAGCCTCTTCCATTCATTATTCCTTCTGCCTGTTCGCTCTCACTACCGTGGCCTCTTCTGAGAAGACTCCTGATTATCCTTTCATCTCCCATTCCTTCTGCTGATCACGCTCTGTGAGCCTTATTTGCTTCAAAGCACTTTTTCTACTAGTAGCTTAATTTTCAGTATTTTCTTACCCGTGCCATTTCCTGACAACGCTGAGCATTAGGGATAGAAAATACTTTAATGTTATTTTAATGTGCTCTCCAAAAGTAGAGGTGAAAGGAAGTGGGGTGAGATTTCCCTTGCATGAAGGTGGGCACACTGAGCAAAATGGCATGACTGGGAAGTCGAGCCCGAATCCTGCTCAAGGCCCCTACACTACTGATGCATCGGGGTGGCAGCTCCTGGAGGAGCCAGCTGACAAAGGCCACGTAACGATTCACTCCTGATGGGGAGCAGCCAGTTCTTTTTTCTTGAGTGTTCCTAGATGGGGCTGAAGAATCATCAGGGCTCTCCCTGATTAAGGAAGAGGTCAAAACTAAGTAGCTTTGTAGACACACCTGTGGCTCATGCCTGTAGTCCTAGCTACTCAAGAGGCTGATACCTGAGGATACTAGTTCAAAAACTAGCCTGGGCAAGAAAATCCATGAGACTCCTTACCTCCAATTAACTACCAAAAAGCTGGATGTGAAGGTATAGCTCAAGTGGTAGAGTGCCATCACTTGAATGAAAAAGCCAGGTGAGAATGAGGGCCACACACACACACACACACACACACACACACACACACACACACACACACACCAACACTCATGATATGATGATGTTTGGTTATCATTCCCAGAGGATGGGGTATAGAGGGGAGCTGTCATTTGGAGAGACAATTGGAGTCTGACTAAACTGCAGTGTGAGTTCTAAAGATATAATACCCTAGTCTGGGGATTAATATACTGTATGTGCATGATGAAGTTCGCCAGGAGAGAACAGAATGTCATGACCCATCCAAACAAAGGAGTAACATCCAGCTGTTCAATGAAGTGGGCCTTGCTAAACCCAAGATTTAATAGGTGAAATAAATTACATGATTAATTTAACTATTATGTATTGTTTTATCATGGGTTGATCACTAATTTATTATAATTGTCTTTATTGGTAGTAATTTATTGTGATAATGTTATAATTGTATTATTTATAATTGTTTGTTAATAAATAAATTTGCCTGCCTGCCAAACTATTTGCATAACATCTTCAATACTGTCACCCAATAGTTAAGAGAGTATATAATATTGAGATACAGATTGGAAGAGAAAATAGAGTTCACCTGTCAGACTTCATAAACTTTGGTATTATTACCAAGTAGTTCAAATATTTTAAGACTATATGGGTGGGTGGGAAAATAACTAGTAGGCAATCTAGGCTTATTACTCCACATCTTGTGAAGTTGACTTTCTTGACCCTAATGACAAAAAGTTGTTTGGGCTGTGGGATGGAGGGGGGGGCATTGGGAGAAGTTGGGAGAGAGAGAGAAGAAAGAGAGAACACATTTATATATTTATATCCTCTCCCTAAAGTGCCATACCACCTAGTATCTTCTGTCTCCCTCCCGCCCCTGTCCTCAGCATCGTCTACTAATGAGAAATTATTTGAGTTCTTCATTCAAAGAGGAAATGGGGAAATAGGATGTTTCACAGACTCAGCTTAAAAAGCTTTGCCTGAGACCTAAACATTCAAATAAAATCCCTGGCAGAAGGCTCTTTAGAATCCTCCAAACACAACACAGGACGGGGTAGAAGCTCGCCTGGTATGCATCAGCTGTGTCCTATCAAATCTTGACTTTGGCTTCTTGGTATTTTCCTGTGCTTCCTTCTAATAAGAAGATAAAGCAATAGTGCCATATCGTTTACCTTCAAACACCCTGGTAGAAAAATGACTCCAAGGCTGAGATAAAACACCTTCTGCTAGATGGGTGTTTCATTTTGTTGTTTCTTTTGCTTTGGTTCTGACATATTGCAAATCACTTAGTGGTACCTTCCTCTTTGCAACTTTTGATTTTTACTTCTTAACTCTTTCCAAGTCCACCTCAACCTATGTCTTGCTTGAAGAGTCAATTTGGGGTCAAAATAACTTCAAGAAAACTATAGAACTTAGCATGCCGATGTATTACTGTGAAGTGAGAGGTTTCATTCTTTTGTTTTGGTGGTAAGACAGGTTTGAAATCAGGACCTTGAACTTGTAAGGCGAACATTCTACCCCTGAGCCCTCTAGCCCGGTGCAGGGCAAATCCTTTATGATATATTTAAGTTGGTGTCATAGAAACATACCTACAGTATATTCATGTCTACCAATAGCTCTATCCTCTACACATATACTAAGATGATCGGCTACAATTCCTCAATAATACGAGTGAATCCGTACTCTGCTAATCTATATATTCTGCCCGCCCCATGGTTTGCAGTCCCAAGGACTACTACACACGTCTAACCTCACCTGTCAAAGAAGACAGGTGTTATAGATATGTTTTACATGACAAGCTTGTTTGTCCATTTTTTTTTATTAGAAAACCTTCTGGCAGGGCTGGGGAGGTAGTATAGTGGCAGAGTGCTCAAGGTCCTGGTTTTTCACTTCTAGAAAACCCCAAAGCCCAGGATTCTTTGAAACCACCAAACGTTTCCCGGGAATGGAAAGATTCTAGGGAAAAAGATAAAAAGCATGATTCCTTTCAACATCAGGGGATATAAAGCTCACTCAATCCCCTGAAAAGCCAGCCAGCCATGGCCACGGTCCCCAGGGGTGGCGTTCTGGAGGAGACTCCACACACACCCTGTCCCCCTCTTCTTGGCCACACAGGAGCCTATGGAGTTTTGCTACAGAACCCCTTGTTACCTTTCACACGGCGTTTGCTGTGCTTTCTGGACTTCAGTCTGGATGAGTGGCTGCTGGCCTGGTCCAGGAGCAAGCTGATCACCAGGAGGCAGACTACAAGTCCGCTCTTTGCCATGGCTGGGGCCCTGGGTAGCCTGCAGGGAGCAAGGAGGCGGACGGGGCCTGCCACATCTTGCCTTGGAGGTGGCCGCGGCCAGCTTTATAGGAGTGAGCGGAGAAGCTGGCGGGGATCCTGCTGACGGAATGCTGGAATGAGACTGCTGGCCCTGCCATAAGATGCTTCCTTGTTCTCCTGCCCCAGCCCCCCCCCCCCCCCCAGCCTGGGCTTTGGATTTGTTTATTTTCATTCGATGGCATTTTTTTTCTAGTCCATTTTTCTATTTTACTTTGATGTCTCAGAGTTCACTCGGGGTTTTGTCTGCTCTTTTCAAAAATTCTGTATCTCCTTCTCCCCATCCCCCAAGTTAAACATTTGGGAGGCTCTGGGAACACTCAGTGTTTACATGTCTCTATGTAGCACCTCTCTAAAGTGTATCAAATATGCTGGAAAATAGATCTAATTCTGTTTTGAAAGTACAACCCGTTTGCAATGGTCAGAAGTGTGTGTGTGTGTGTGTGTGTGTGTGTGTGTGTGAGAGAGAGAGAGAGAGAGAGAGAGAGAGAGAGAGAGAGAGAGGTGCTGCAGGACCGATGAACTTCACAGCAGTGTATCTGCAACACTGTGTCTGCACTTTGTCTCAAGTGGGGCTGAGGAAGGTTTGCGACACCACCGGGTTTATCAGAGCTAAGGTGACTGGTGACTAGTCTCACAGGGGCCTTACTCAAATAGGGTTTCAGAAGTGCGTCCCAAATTATCTTCCTGAAAGACACCTTGGCGCGAAAAGAATATGAAAAGGTGAATTACTTCCATAAAAAGTCATGTCATGTATCTACAATCATCTTCCCTCCCTCCCTTCCTTTCCTTCCTTTCTCTTTCCCTCCCTCCTTCAACTCTTCTTTCCTCTTCCTCTCTCCCTCCCTCTCCTCTCCTCGCCCTCTGTCTCCCTTTCTGTTTCCTTTTAATTTTTATCCTTCCCTTCTTCCTTCCTTCTTCTCTTCCTCCCTCCCTCTCCTCCTCTTCTCTTTCATCCTCGTTCTCCTTCCTCTCTTCTTCTTCTTTTTCTTCCTCCTCTGTCTCCCTTCCTCTCCCTCTCTCCCCCTCTTTCTTCCTTCCTTCCTCTCTTCTTCCTTCCCTCTCTTCCTTCCTCTCTTTCTGCTTTATTTCTTTCTTTTTTCTTTCTTTTTTCCCTCCCTCCCTTCCTTCCTCTCTTTCTGCTTTCTTTCTTTCTTCCTTCCTTCCTTCCTTCCTTTCTTTCTTTCTTTCTTTCTTTCTTTCTTCCTTCCTTCCTTTCTTTCTTTCTTCCTTTCTTTCTCCCTTCCTTCCTTTCTTTTTCTTTCTTCCTTAATTACCTTTCTTCATTTCTATTCTCTCTGTCTCTCTCTCCATTCCTTCCTTTCTTCTCTTTCTCCCTCCTCCCTTCACTTCCCTTCTTCCCTCCTTCCTCTCCTCTTCCTTATCTCTCTCGTCCCTCTATCTTCCTCTTCCTCCTTCTCCTCCTCCTTCTCCCCCACCCTGACTTTTTGTACCAACACAGATCCAACACGTAGGCATCTGAAAATGTTAAGTCAGGTTGAGTACTCCAGGCTCCCATCTCAGGCTGATCAGCAGAGTGGCCCTGGGCAGTTCACCTTGTGAGTTACCTCTTAGCCATGAGTCTGGGAGACTTTACAACAGACTGACCAGATAATGGCTATCAAGTCTTCAGCACAATGGGTGGTATTTTAATTCCATAACAGTAAGATTCACAGCATTAATTATAATGTATACAATTTATGGGTTGCCATTTTATTATTCACAATAAATTTATGGGATAGAAATTTCCTCTATTTTATGAGCAATGAAAAATGAGCATAGCAAATTTAAGTGGGGGAAGGCACATGGCTCATGCCTATAATCCCAGCTACTTGAGAGGACTGAGATTTGAGGTTTGATGCTAGTTTTGGAAAAAAACTTCGTGACACCTCATCTCAATTATCTGGGTATGGTGGTACATTCCTGTGAAGTCAGCAACTTTGGAGGCTGAAGCAGGAGGACAGAGGGTTTGAGGCCAACTCCATCTACATAGTGAGAACTTGTTGCAGACAAACAGAAAAGACAAACTGTTTTAACAAAACAGTTAAGTGGCTTCATCCAACACCACTAAGATCTCAATCTATAGCTTTGATTGACTTCAAGAGACCTCAGCTATGAAAATGTGCTTTGGTTTGAGCAAGGGAAAAGATCAATGTGTAAAATACTCATGCTATTGTTGATCCAGAATGCTTGGTGCCAGCTTCCTGAAGCTCTTACTTTAAAAAAAAGTATGTCAGAAAGACAAGGTTTTTTTGGTTTGTTTTTTAAAATCTTTGCATTGTGCTATGTTCACCATGGGACCAAGTATCTTTTAAAATCATCTTAAAAATTTTTTGTTTGAAGACTCTGTCTCCTTCCAGGAAGGCCTTGGATACCTTTTTGACTTGTCTTTGTGCCTCATCCTCAGCTGTGTGTGTGTGTGTGTGTGTGTGTGTGTGTATGAGTAGTGGGGCTTGAACTCAGGACTTGGTTGCTGGCCCTTAGCTCTCCCACTCAAAACCCTCTAAATCATTTGTTGGTACTTACTTATAATGACACTCAGACTTCCCATTGTAGCTTATGAAGCCCTCCTACCTTGGGGAGGGGACGGTAACTGGGATTTGAACACAGGACCACTTGCTTAGCAAGTAGGTGCTCTACCACTTGAGCCACACTGCACCCCATTCTGCCCCCTTCTTTTTCAACTAAGATTTCACTTACTGCCTTGGATGGACAGGACTGCCATCCCCCTATTTAAACTTACCCCAGAGCCGGAATGGTGAGTGTGTATCATTGTTCCCATCCCACCCATTTCATTTTCAACTATTTGACAGTAACTGGGGTTTGGACTTAGGGCATATCCTTCCTAGGTTGGCACTTCACTACTTGAGACATGCTTGTAGTCTTGCTTTTTGCTGGCTATTTTGGAGATAGAGTTTCTCAGACATTTTTATTTTTTACCCAGGCTGACCTCAAACCACTAACCTCCAGTTTTCAGCCTCCTAAGTAACTGAGTCTCTATACCTGGAATGTCTGCTACGATTTCACCCGGTTCTTCCAGGTGGCTTTTTCACTTTCTCAGACTTAACTTTCTCTGCCCCATAATCTCATAAGGTCCTTTCTACTGGTGTCCCTGTGACCTAGCTCTCCTTGATCGCAGTTTGCTGTTCACTTAACAGGTTTACGGACTTACTTGCTGGAAGTTGGTCTGTAAGTTCCCAGAGGAAGGGGCGGGGTTGTGTTGGATAAGCTTGAGTTATGCATGAACACAGTACTGGGGCACATAGCATTGCTGGGTAAATACTTATGTGTGTGTGGCAGGACAGCGAGGGGTTTGTTTCCATCCAATCCTACCTCGTCTCTGAGACTCCAGCCAAGGAACACAGCCTTGAAGCCCATGGCATACCAAGCAGATCTAGGCATCCTAGTACTGATACTTGGAATCTAGCTAAAATCCTCTCCCCTTGGAGAAGATCTGATTGACTAACCCAGAGACCAGACTGGGAACTTTCTCAAAGCTATTTCCCCCCTGCAGGGATGCTAAGTCTAATCCATCTGCCTTCTGGAGAAAAGCTGAGAAAACATAAACAAGGGGCTGATGGGAGCGGCTAGGATGAGAGGGCCGGGTGGGGTGTTTAGGGGCCGGGTTGGATCTGAATGTATTCACAAGCTAAGGATTTGGGTCTTGCCACAAATACAGACATCATACATATTGTTTATGGAGTCCCTTTCCTCTAAAACCTCAATAAGTAAAGCCCCAAGGATCTGAAAATGATCATGTCTAGAGTTTTACACACACACACACACACACACACACACATATCAAAGATAACGGAGGGGAGGGCCCCTTCTACACCTCATGCTGGGAGGAAGGCAGGTGTCTGTTTTCTTGAAGAAAACAAAGAACAATTCCTTTTTATTTTTTATTTTTTTGTGCTTGTCTCCCGGGCTGGACTGAGGCTTTTGAAAGGACTCTTTAAGAAGAAACACACATTTACAGGCAGTGAGAGGAACTATTAAAAAGAAAATATTGCGTTTAAACAAAAAGCATTTTGATGAGAGTTTTAAACCTGTCACTAAGGTTTTATTTTCTTGAATAAACCATCATTTGCCACCCACCCCTTAACCACCCTGTGTAATTGATGTGTTTATTCCACTGGTTGCTATTTTAAAGTTGCTCTAAGCTGTTTTCCAGAGTCTCGAATTCTAACCAGCAAATCCATCCGGCCCCATGGCTATTTGTCTATTAATACTCAAGGTTGAACACGTTTGAAGGGCTGTGTTCAGAGGTTCAAGGGCAGCATTTAGGAGAGGTCAGAGCACTGGATTTGGAGGTTTTTTTCCCTTTAAATACTGTTATGATAAGGATGATATAAAGAGGGGTTACAGTTACATAAATCAGGTAAAGAATACACTTCTTTTGGGACGATATTACTCCATTCCCTCACTCTCTCCCACTTTTTCCCTCCCCTCCCCACCCACAAGTTGTACAGTTCATTTTCGACATAGTGTCCAGTGAGTACCACTGCTGCATTTGTCTACCCTTTCCCGCCCCCTATCATTTCTGTGCCTCTCCTTACCGTCCCAAAGATAGATAAATGGACAAACCAGACAAAAAGAAAAGAAAAGAGAAACAGGAAAAAAAAAAAAGAAGGAAAGTCCTCTGATTCCATTTCCGGGAGTTCTTTTCGATCAATATTATTTTGTCTGAGCACTGTGCCTTCCTGTGCCTTTCCTAAGAGCGTGCTGCCTGGGTCTCACTGGGTGTGAAGGCCTAGAGACCTGTGTAATTTATTCTTGGACTTGTGCAAAGTTGCCTTGTTTCTCCAATGATTACTACGGGAGTTACAGTGGGGTATTTGAATTGAACATGGGCACCAGCTTTGAGACCCAGGGATAAGGAGGCTATTACGTTGGAGCAGCACTGAGTCGGATACTGAGTAAGAACTCTGGTAGCTGGGGATGAAATTTCAGATGCCACTTGCTCA